AAAAAAAAAAAAGATTATTACTGGTAAGGGCTACAAAAATGGACAAAACTTAAAAATTATACATTTGGGGATTGGTGTGGTGGTGCACACCCATACTCAGGGGGCCGAGGCAGGAGGTTAGTTTTTTGGGTTTTTTTTTTTTCCCCAGTACTGGCGAGTGAACTTAGGACCCTGCACTTGCCAGGAAAGCACTTAATTCTATTGAGCTATCTCTCTGGCCCTAGGAGGATAGTTTTAAGGCCAGTCTGGGCTACATAGTGAGTTGAAGACTAGCCCGAACTACAGAGTTAAGGCTGTTGTGAAAAAAAAGCAATCAATCATCAAATTGGGGAGATGAAAACAAAAAAGGTTAAAAACAAAATTGGAACAACACATGTCACCTACACAGCTGAGACTTTAAAACACTTCACACACTTTATAGCAAAGATTTAGAATTCTTAAAAACTCAGGGAAAGAATATGTAATTCTTAGACACAACATGTTAAAACCAAGCTGCTTTTAAGAAAAAAATGAAGGAGAAAGGAAAATGGTTTAAGTTCCCACTTCAATACAATGAATGTATCAGCAGCATGACCTGCTAACGGAAATTCTCTGACCCTCCAAGACTGCTTTACTTTTAATAATATTCATAGTCTCACCTAACATATTGAAGGGACTGACGAGGATGACATAGGAGTAGAAAATTCCCTTAAATATTTCCACTTGGCTCCTAACTACATTGGAGCATAGAAATTTGAAGATAGTTTTCAGATAGCTTTAGATTTTATGACACTCAAAATAAGAAAATCTCCAGAAAAACTCTTAGTCTTTAAACTTGCCCAGGTATCTACGTTTTTTAAAATATGAAAAAGTGTTTTATAACTATATGATTATGTAACTAAGGTCTATGGAGATAGAAAAAAAATACCCATTTCGAGGCCATTGCCTTCACAACATATTTGGAAATCAGAACACATACAGAATTATAAATATTCTAAAAAATAAAATCATTAGAATACCAAATATACAGAAAAGGGTTATTACTAGCGTGGTCAAGCTAAGTAACTTAAATAAGCAGTATAAGAGTAGGGAAAAGCAACCTGTGGAAGCAAACATGAATGACGCCGGGCGGGCGGGCAGAAGCAGGCACAGAGATCACTGTGCAGTACTCCCAGGCCCTGGCTCCAGGGTTCTTGGTACCTGCGTGGATCCTTCCCCATTCCTCTTCATTCCGCTGACATTATCTACAACTACTTGATTCAATTATCTTTAAGCAGTATCTTTTGTAAGAAGAGTAAATTAGAAATAATGAGAGCCTTTCAAAAATTACAACTTTAGATCACTGGGCCACTGCAGGATCCCGAGTTTATGTAATCTAACTCTACCGTATCCAAACATTCCTCAGGTCCTATCCATCAGGGTCTTACAACCTGCCCCCCCCCATTAACACAATCTCTTCTCTGAAAACGCAGCTCAGATAATTACAGTCTTAAATCCCAAATGTCACAAGACATCCTGAGTTCTTAATATCTCTCCATAGCACTAGACGTGAAACCCAGGGTCTGCTCCATTCCTCCTTTTGTCTATGGAAAACGAAAAGGTAAATCAACTTCTTCAAGGCCATAAGCCAAATGACCTGGGTAAAAATCATGGAAATGAATTTCCTGGCCCTTCCTTGGTACTCTTACTAGAAAATTTTCACGAGTATCCAATTCCAAATCTCTTTTATTGAACAGACAAACCGAGGTCTTATCAACTGAGCATCAAGCATTTTTTGAAAACCCTATAAACCCAATGTAATCACATTTACTTCTCTCTCAATTGACAATTTTTCACAAATTTTTAAGCATAAAACTTGGACTGGATTATTTCACCCACAAAGGAGCATTAATTGGAACGTGGTCTAAGTAGCTTCAATGAAGAACACCTGTCAAAGACAGTCAAAGACAGTAAAAGCCATCGAAAAATACGAAGATAACAGGAAAATCTTCATTTTTACAATTACACGGGAGAGTACTACACAAAAACTGAAATGAAGGTCAGGTGACAAATTACACTAAAGACAACCCGGGAAAGAACCTGGAAAAAATTAGAAAAGATACGAAGCGGGCCTCTGGAAATGAAGGCAGCAAAGGCACAATCACTCACTCGAGCTGGCCAATGAGGGTACCCTTTCATCTTGGCGAAGATGAGGTCTCCAGGTTTGAAATCGCGAGTCATGTTTCGGGGGCGAGGCTGGGGGTCCCGAGTCCGGAGGAAGCGGCGGCGCGCGGCGAAGTGATGCTCGGGCGCGGGGCGGAGCTCTGGCTCCCCGGCCGGCGGGCTGGGGGCGACGCCTCCCTCCGGGGTCCCGACGCGCCTGCGAGCCGGCGGGGGG